TGGTGAAGTCATTCATGATATTAATTAGGTATCAATCACAGTGTCAAATAGTTGTCATTCAAGTAAAAAAAGAAACACATCTCAAAGATCAACAAATGAGACAAACAAGGAAGGAGGAGGGGGAATTTTGGACACTACACAGTTTCTCCATAACAGACTGCAGAGAGGGCCAACAGAATACATGCATATACACCCATACAATATTTCTTTTTAGAGCAGTGCTTTCGCTGTGAGGTTCCTTCTCTCTCCTTGGGCCCTGGAGAATAGGGGACAGGCCCTGAGATCTGGTAATCAACAAGGGGCCAGTCATCAAGGCCCCACGTGCCTCAGTCCGTCACATAAGGCAAATATTTGAAGGCGGCTAATGCTATTCCAAAATATTTGTTTTAACAACATCGTACATGCATGAGAAAATATTTATAAGACCTTTGAGATTATCATTAACAGATACATAGCTGTCAAACATTTTAAACCTTCCCTTCAAGAAGTACTCCTATTTCAAGAAGGACTGATAGGGTTTTCTCTTTCCAGTGCCCAGTAAATGATAATTTTCAGGAAAATCAAAACAAAGGCAAGAACCATTTTATTTTCTTTATTTTCAATCGATACTGTATGAATACAAAGTTTCTAGAAAGCTACAAAAAATCTACCACTTTATCAAGAAGGCATCAAAATGTGTCACTTTGCAAAGACATGGAACACCTGCAGTAACCGACACAAAAATAGCATTTTTAGAGTGATGAAATAATTGCACTTAACTGTCATGGATATTAAAGTTATCACACATATGTACCGCGAAAGCTAGAATACATTTGTTTTTACAAAGCACTTTTATAAAAAAATTCTCTGCACACAAACCCTATAATTTTCATATTACTATCATACTAAAGATAAATTCACTTTAAAGCCAACACTTAAAACATTTTTTAAAAAAACAAAAAGGTACCAGCACCTACACACAGACAACAACAAATACAAGAATACTGTACTGCCAAAAGGTTTGATTGAAACTCGTTTTGAAAACTTCAAAATATGTTAAGACAAGATTTGAAAAGTTTCATTTTGATATATAAAAAGAGCTTTCCCTCTGGGTCAAAGCCAGAGGTACTTTGTCGTCCAAAGGCAGATTCTACATCCCACCCCTCAAAAGAACCAGCAGCAGTACAATATTAAAGTAACCACTGACCATATATGAATATGCTTAAGTCACAAACCCAGTTTATACACATTACACAAATAAACAAAGTGAGAATTCCATTAAGTCATTTACAAATGTGAACAAAATGCATGTGGCAAATAAAAAAAATCAAAAGTAAAATTGTTTTACATCAAATGTACTGATATTAAAGAATTAAAGGCTATTCAGGTTTCAAAAACTGTTATAAAATTCTTTTGTCTTTTTTCAGGCACATGTTGTAGGGTTTTTTTTTCTTCTTCTGCAATTATGAGCCTGAAGTAAAGGCCCATTGAAAAAGAAAGACGGGAATTAAACATAATATAAAAGAAAAAGATTCTGTAAGGAGGTAACAGGGCATATCCTCTCAATGAACGGAGTGCACTGAAGAGTGAATTGACACTTAAAAATATCTCTGAGTCAAACTACCTTGCTGGCCTAGAGATCAAGACTGCCAAACTTCTTTATATGTCCAATTAACTTTTCAGGGGAAGAGGCGGGAGAAAGTTAAAGAAAAAAAAACAGATTAAAGAAAATCAACCTGAGTATGGATTGAAATAAGGACCAGTTTACACATTAAGTGTAGCCTGTGGCAGCTGCCCCCAGACAGTTTCCAATGCTGGTGATCAATGAGGCAGGGAATCCTGTTTAAATGCTTTACCTGGTGCTGTTGCCCCAAAACTGGAGCTGTCAATATTGTGCAAGCACTGAAGGGATTTAGTCCACCACCTGTGGCAAAGGCTATGGAGTGTCACTCCCTGCTGGACTGTCAGCATGTGGACAAACGTCTCAGCAGCATCACAGGCAATGTAGGCTATACATATTGATCCCAACAGAGCCATATATGTGTTGTATGAGGATGGTTGATAATATAGGCCATGTTGAAAGCCCTAGCACTGTTATGTTACTGAATAATCCTAAACACATCCATTTAGAAAACATGGCAAGCCATTGTTTGTGTTTACAGTAGTTACTTGTTCAAACCATGGTTGGTTTGAGTTTCTGAATATGTAACAGGCAAACCATGGTTCTGAGCTACTTGTCTACTTCATTTACTATCTCTAGCATTCAGTATTATAAGTTCACTCCAACTGCCATGATGCAGTTGTTTCTATAGCAATGGCCACAACTATGATTTGTTTTATCATATACAGAGCATGAAAATAATATCAGACAATGGCTTCTGATTCTGGCTTAATAGCAGATTGTAAAACATGGTTTGTCAGTTCAGGAAACATGTTAAACCACAGTTAGGTAACCGTTACCAAAGGTTTGACAGGATGCCCGAACTGCCATAGAAAAGTAAATGTGCCCAAATAATTAGAAAGAGGAATTAAAATGTACAGTTTTATCGTTTCCCAAATGTTGTGACTTCTAATTGTCAGTTGTTTCTATTCAGTGTAATATTTAACTCTGTTACGTAATGATGACAGAAACAAAAAAGCTGAACTCACTGCAGTTGCTAAACTGCTGGGGCTCAAGCATTGATAGAAAGTGGGAAAAGAGAGCTAAGTTGCAACTTACACATCATAGTGGTACAGTACCTAAATAAACCAACCTAGAATTCAAGTAAGTACAAAATTACATTTGTAAAGCAAGCTATGCTTCAACTGCCATAAATTGTACCATTTTTTAAAATTTTGTACATAAGACAATAAATAAAAATGATTCCTTTGCAATAAAATATACTCCAGCCACTTGTTTACCTATATCTGTCTCAACAGATACATTTAATAGTTGTAAATATATATAATGTACTTTTGAGGCCAAGCAATCTTTGCTAATTTTGATTTGGGAAGAGACTAAGTGTGATTTGTATCTTTTAAGGACCATAACTGGTATAAAGTTCGGCTACAATCCTAGGCACACATATCAATGAGTAGGCCTATTTGAATTCACCTAACTTACTTCTAAGTAGAAATGCCTAGGACTGCAGAGTTGAAGAGATGAGAAGTGGAGGGAGGAACAAATATTCACTACTTTTGTGCCACAAATTAATTTTAAATAAACATTTTTACTATATTAAAAACAAAAATGTATTCACAGCTACAAATCCCCTCTGCCAACTTTTGGTTTTACTGCTATTACTTCTCAGTGATGATTTTTAACTATGTTGTGTCCCTCTGAATCAATGTCAATGTTGTCAAAGTCTTTTGAAATAAATGCCTAAATTCACAAATGGAGTTAAAATGGCACAATTTTTGAAGTTGCTACCTTTCCTGCAGTGATAACAGGAAAGTGCTGGATGATGCCAGTCCAAAGTATTTTCCAGTGATGTTCATCATTCATTCCTATCAATCTGATGCTAGAAAGCACAGGTTAGATGACAGATATATTTTGATCCATACTTTCATTTTCAATTTTAGGCATCCAACTGTTCAACTTTGTAAACAAAATAAGTGCAAATTTAAGAGAAAGAAGAAAAACATCTTTGTAGATTTAGAACTAACTATATTGATAAAGTCATAGCTGTCCTTCGCCTGAAATTCTGCTATTTACACAGACTTGTATTACTCAGATCCAAGACTGGATGGAGAAAGACATGGCAAAGGCTATCAAATACAGCACAATCCTTGCACCTGCAGGACTGGTATCCATGGTTTCATTTATCCATATCAACAAAATATATCATCTCTAGGAATTTTCTAGGCTCTCCAGCATGACACTATGGTATCCTTGGGCCAGAGATCCTTCATTTCAATAGTGTTTGCTATTATCTGTGGTTTGGCGCATCGACACGGCATCTGGGAACAGATCCCCATGGATATGAGGGGCCATATTTTACGGACTGCTTCCTATACTTGAAAGTCAGCAATGCTGCAGAAACAGTGACAAATAGCTGAATAGCATGGAGAATAGTTTTTCAGCAATATGCACTCTTGAGATTTGCAAAAAGCATGCTACGATAAAAAGGTACTTTTTTGTGAATGAAGGCCTGTTAGTTTTGATGATTTCCAATAACCCAAAGGCATTATGGTGATTTCTAAACATTTTTGGTCTCTACAAATTGTTATTATTATGGCAGCACTTTTCTAAGCTGGAATTTTAAAACCAAAGGCACTTGCATGCAAGAGTGCAGAGTCACAAAGGTTTAAGTATTTGGTCATGAAAATTTAAGAAGGCAGCATTATTCATACAATTCACTTTCTGCAGAAAATTCTGGAGCTGTTAACATTTTATTTTGGTATAAGTATTCCAACTATGTAGTAACGGGGACTGATTTATATAGAAAGCTGTCTAAGACCACATAGTCAAAAGGCTTCTCTCTAGATTTTTTATTGTTTTCTTTGAGTAAACCAATTATTGGACTACATAAGATTGGCGTGATAGGGGAAAAGGTACTTCTAACATAGCACTAAGGCACTGCATATTGTAATGCTTTGGCAGCTCGGACTTAAGAAGTTCCTACAACAGCATAACAGTAACAAGAGAGATGCTTCCAGCTTACAAAAGAGCTCACAGTTTACAGGCAGCCTTTTGGACTACACAATCCACACCAAACATCTGACAGACTTAAGGCTTTCCAGAAGAAACATGCACAGGGGATTGAATCATTTACATTCACAAGGCAAACAGTTCCTCATAAGCTTGACAAAAAAATGAACGCCAAGAAACATTGTGACTCTTCCAATGGAATAGTTATTACACACATGTTGCAGACTGTATTAACCGGGGGGGGGGGGGGGGGGGGGGGGGGGGGAGTAGCATACCTGGTTTGCAAACTGACTATTTTATATACCCCAAGAAGTCTTCTTGAGATATATAATTTTTAGCATTTAATTTTCTTCTTTGTTAAAAATAAATTTATCAAAAACCAATAAAAGTAGGATAACATCTTTGTAAAAATAATGTTAGGCTTATAACACCAAGTGCTTCAAATAAAGGGCTGCTTTAGATGGATAATATCCAATATTTCTGTCAAATTCATTGTTAATGTTTATGAAGAAACTCAGCCAGAAACACCCAGTTCCACAGTTCTCAGAGTTAAAGTGAATGAGATCACAATTCTATACAAATCTACCCAGAAGAATTGAATAGAATTTACTCCCAGGCAAATGTGCATAGGATTGCAGCTCTGGGAAGTCCATCTGTCTTAATATCTGTGGGTCCAGAGACACTGAACATGCAGAGGACTTGAAGATTTAGTATTATCCCTGGCTTGGGATTATACTTGTCTGTTTCTATCCATCTAAGGCAGTGGATCTCAACCTGTGGGTCCCCAGGATGTTTGGTTTGAAACTCCCAGAAATCCCAGCCAGTTTACCAGCTGTTAGGATTTCTGGGACATGAAGGCCAAAAACATCTGGGGACCCCAGGTTGAAAACCATTGATCTAAGGCATATAAGGTATGCTAGATAAGATAATCATCTACACTCACATTCTGCCTCTTCATATACTGCACATGTTTTAGCAGAGATTACCAGTTCAGAAGATCCCAGTATGGTCATGACTGGAAGACTGCACACAAGACTGTACACGTTGTGCAGCTCTTTAGAATAGAAGCCGAAATACCATAGCTAGATTGAACTATAGAGTTTTACCCATTGGGTATTCCACCCCTTTCCACCATCCTTACATTGGAGTTGAATATTTCTAACTGTTCACAGATTTCTATGAAGACATAATAACACACATCCTGCATATGTACATTACAAATATCAATCACACAAGCATGCATGAAGCAGCATTCCCATGTGTATTAGCTACCAGTGCCACTAAGGTATCCTCCCTTTCTAAATTTGGATGCTTCTGTATCAAGGGGCTGATTCAAGGTCCTAAAGGTCCACAAACAAAGGCCTGGAAGGAATACACATTTAGGATAGAAATTACACTCCCAATTTACCAGACTCTCCCCTCTAAACTTTTGTGTGTAGGTGTACATTCATGGGTAACTTATTAGATGTTTCACTTTCATTATTTGCACCAGATCCTGGGATGCAGTATCTCTTCTGACTAGTGAACTCAATTATGAACAAAATGGCATGCACAAAAGACAGAAGACTGTTTAACATTCACAAATATAAATGTGACTAATGCTGAAATCCTATACACCCTTATCTTGGGAGTAGGTCCCACTAATCTCACTGTGGCTTACTTCTGAGTAGACATGTATAGGATTAAACTGTAGGTATCTTTTCTCTAGGGAAGAACTCGCCATTTGCTCAAATTGCTTCTGAAGCGGAATAAAACCTCTCATTGTAATAGTTTATCTATATACCTATAAAGCTAAATGATTTGACATTTTATTGCCTGTGATTTACTGTCCTTGGTTCCCACATACCATGAAGGGGGAGTGGCCTCTGCCTAACTTGATATCCCTCTCGAGACCATTTCTATGATAATAGAAGTAATCTCAAAGATTACTCTGTGATTTTTAACATTGTCTGATGAAGAAGCCATGAAGCTTTGAAAACTTGCATGTTTTTTGTGCATTTTAGTAGGCTTAATAAAGGTATAACAATTTTTGTGGATTTTGTCCTATAATACAAGTTTGTATAAAGCAAGAAGGAAACGTGGCGCAAGAGTCCTCTTTCCTAATTTTTTTTTATTACTAGCAGCAAATATTTGAGCAACAAGGAAAAGAAAGATGGGACTGGCTACATGAGCCAATGACAAGTCTGAAGCCCCATTATTTGCAGCCATATCACATCAGACTCTTGATATCAGTGTCCCAAAGACAAGTCTGTAAAATTTCTGCTTCGTACAGACACGTGGGTTTGGCAATGATCCTGTTTAGAAAGGGGATTTACTAGAACTGGGCTACAACTTGGTGGTAGAACAGTACCTTTGCTTAGAGAAGGTCTGAGACGTAGGAGAAAACTGCAATAGAGAGATGGGCCAATGATCTGATTCAGTACAAATCAACTTTGTGTCTCCCTGAAACATCTGATAGACCAGCTGATATGGTCACTAGGCTAATTTCAGGTTATTAGGTTACCCCAACTTGAAATTATCAGTGGTGATTCCTAGTTTTGTAGTATTCCAAAGACATTAAAACAGATGAACCTTTTGCTTATATGCCATTCTTTTCTCAATCACTTTTAGAGGTGTTTCAGTTGAATTTTAGTTCAACATTTTAAATAACCCTTTACATTTGATCATTTGGTGTAGCAATTTCTTGGGTCATTGGGAAAATGGATACAAATAAAAGAATTTCTCGTGTAATATATAAGCACACCCATAATCACATACAACATAAGTCTAATTTTTCAGTATTAACAAGTTATTGCAAAACGAGCCATCTTGTAAATTAAAAAATCAATCTCCTTATTAGTACAACACTTTTTGTCTTTTTTATGCACTATAATTAATTAGTAAAATGAATAAAGTCTTCTCGCTTTGCAATACCTGATTGAAAAGTTTAATAGATTAGAAAGTTAGTTTTAATACAGAGGTAAGAAAGAAAAAAAAGGCCGAGGGGGGGGGGGGCAATTGCCTACTTTTAGGATCTGTCTGCTCCCAACAGGCATTTATTAAGGCTATGTTTATCATTTGGCTTCAAACAGAAATTGAGTTGCACTTATAAAATAATTTAGTGAATTACATTCATATGTATCTCCCACAGTAATCACTTATGAAGATAATTCTAAAAAGAATTTATGTGCTAATTTTATGCTTATAGTTAAAATTCATTTCAATTTCACCTCCATCTTAAAAACAAGTTTTTATTAATTTAGACAAAATACCTCACCAGCTCATTAAATTGCTGTTAAAATTTCCCATGGCAAATGTCCTCATACTCTTTTCACACAACAACAAAAAAATTTAAATTTCCAGAAAGGCTTTGAAATGCTTAAATATAGTCTCCCCGAAGAATGGTGTTGAATATAAATTTGAAGAACACTTGTTTTGAAAGAATTTGTACAACTGTACCAGAAATTTCACAGCTACAATATATACTGACACACTAAAATGAGGTTTAGAAAAAAAATGTCAGGAAAAGCTCAGCCAAAGGAACTGTCACTTAGTATTGAGGTTGACAGTCTGTATTTTCAGGAGGAATTATAATGTGATGTGTCTATAAATAACTGTTTAGTCCTTTACAAGCCTGTAGATGTGATGCTGTGCACCATGTTCACTGTTTGAAACTTCAAATACACAAGCCATGCAAAGTAGGGTTTCTTGTGTGTCTCTGTTTGTTACAACCTGTGTTGACATAAAAAGAAAGAGACAAAGAAGATAGCATATTAGCTTCTTATATACTGTATATATTTGTGTATAAGTCTAGAAAATTTTAGTCAAAATCAACTTTAAAAACTGGGTCAACTTATCCATTGTTGCTGTTGGGTGCTGTCATGTCATTTCTGACTTATGGTAACCTTAAGGAGAACTTATCATGAAGTTTGCTGGAGCTAAGAGTGTGTGACATTGCATGGGTCACTCAGTGGTTTTTCATAGCTGAGCTCAGAATCAAATCCAGAATTGGACTCCAACATGAAACCACTACACCTCACTGCCTCTATCAATTTAAATACTGGAACTTAACACTTATCAAAAAAGGATAAGCAGAGTGGTGAAAAGCAAGAACTTATGCCAGGAAGTCGCCATCATGCCAGGAACCAAAAAGAAGTACTCATCTCCTCTACTCTCTCCACTATGTTCTCGCTACTGGACTTTTTGGATACTTGGATGATGAAATGATGGCAGTAACACTGACACTTTTCCCTCTCTGAAGAATTACAGCTTATCCATGGGCCATATCAAAATTCAAAATTTTGGCCTCAAACCTGCCCTCGACATATATGTGAGTTCAACTTATACATGAGTATACACAGTGAAAAGATGGGAAAACATTTTACCTCCAGCCACCAATATTTTGATTAAATGCTTCTCTGTAATATTGCTGAGGAATTTATTCCCTCTTCTACACCAGATGCATTCCTTATCTCACCCAGAAACCCTACAGGAAAGTGCCAATCTCCTGGTACACTGAACCAAATGGACTGTGGCCTTACCTTGGCTCTCATGGTCCCAATCCCAAATATTGTAGATTGGCACCTCCTAGCACACAGTCCTGAGCTCACTGAGAGGGTAAGAAAAAGATGACCCCCTCCCTCTATTATTGTAAGTTCTCTTGCTAACACAAGTAGTGGTGCTTTTTAAGAAGTGGTAATTCCGTCTTACCTCTGGCTGGAGTTGCAACAGCAATCCTTCATTCCCAGAGTTGTCTCCTATATCACATCAGTGATACATAAAACTGCCTAGCGTAGGAAGCTTCTTTTACAAGTGGTGGGCCATTCCCTGCTCTTAAAGGACAGAGTTGTTTCAGCCACAAATTCCCTTCTCTTTTCCCAAACTAGTTAGCCTATCCCATGGCTGATGTGGAATAAGCTGTACTACCAGCCCTTGGGTGTAAATGGATGAATCCTTTCATTTGCTGTGGATAGTTAAATGTCTTGAATAGTCCCTATTACAAATATGTATATTCAGTAAGTAAACCAACATAATGGACCACAGCTGGTCATGAAAAATTAAATCCAGAGCCTTCCTTGCAAAAACCATGCTATTTGATTCAAAGTCATAACATTTCTAATTCAGGGACACTGAATCAAATTCAAGTTTATCTGTTCCAAAGGTAGTGTACAAAGCAGTCAACAAATAAAAACTGAACATTACCAACAAAATTGTAAAGTTTTCCAAGACGCTGTTCATCATATATTTCTCTGGTAAATGTTTGAGCTTGTGGATGAAATTGATCATATATTCACACATCGGAGAGCGGTTTATTCTAAACACAAACCGGCCATTCTCAAACCGTGCATATTCAGTCTTGAGAAGAAAAGACAAAAACAAACAAAAAAAAACTAGAAAGTTACATAATCAAGCTAGATTTCTCAACAACTTAAAAATCCATCCTGTTTTGCTTTCAAAGTGATGAATTGATTAATTACTTAAAATAAATACTGCAATTATATGACATTTTAGAATATTCAAATATCTAATTCAATTTAATTAAACAAATAATGTAATTAAGAATGTGGTTTTTTTTAGAGGGCCCTCCCCTCTGGCAAACTATAGTATGTCTCAAATAAATGAGTATGAATATTTCCTATTCAGTATGGGGACCATTCCTAGAATCACAAAGGGAATGGGGCAGTGTTTGCATCAATGACACTCTTGTTTAGATGTTATAGCTCCAGGAAATTCAGGTGAAGTGAATAGCTCAGAAAAAGTTACTTCTTTGGACTAAAGCTTCCAGAACCCCCCAACCAGCATGGCTAAGCCAACTCATAAATTCCAAAAGCTTTAGTACAAAAAAGTAAAATTTTGAGGCCTGGGTCTGGGTTGTTTCTTAAAGTATATACTCAGGTAGATGACATGATTCAGCAAACATTATTTAACATATATCATACAGAGGAATTTCTCCTGTAGCTTCCAGAGATGGCTGCAGACTCCCCTAGATGTGTGTGACATCATTTTACACATACACACACACACCTGCTACAAGTCCTGTAAGCCCCACTAATTAGTCTATCCTACCAGAATGAAACTGAAAGGTTGGAAAACTTTATCAGTAATAGATTTTCCCAGGAAATATACAAACAGAACATCTCCTTGGTTTCAGATGCATCTGGTAGATGTGTATTACAGAGTATCTTCAGGGTTTTGCTGCACAATATACAGGGTGAGGCAGCATAACTTCCTCCTGGTCAGTCGCAAGGCCAAACAGGGCATAGGGTTACAGCCTGTGCTGGATGGGGTCGCACTCCCCCTGAAGGTGCAGGTTCACAGCTTGGGTGTGATCCTGGATTCATCGCTGAGCCTGGAGCCCCAGGTCTCGGCGGTGACCAGGGGAGCATTTGCACAGCTAAGGCTTGTGCGCCAGCTGCGCCCGTACCTTGGGAAGTCTGACTTGGCCACGGTAGTCCACGCTCTGGTTATATCCCGTTTAGACTACTGCAACGCTCTTTACGTGGGGTTGCCTTTGAAGACTGCCCGGAAGCTTCAATTGGTCCAACGTGCGGCAGCCATGATACTAACAGGAGCGGGATGCAGGGAGCATACAACCCCCTTGTTGTACCAGCTCCATTGGCTGCCGATTTGCTACCGGGCTCAATTCAAGGTGCTGGCGTTGGCCTATAAAGCCTTAAACAGTTCCGGCCCAAGATACCCATCCGACTGCATCTCGACCTACGAGCCCACCAGGACTTTGAGATCTTCCGGGGAGGCCCTGCTCTCGATCCCGCCTGCTTCACAAGCATGGCTGGCGGGGACGAGAGATAGGGCCTTCTCGGTGGTGGCTCCTCGGCTGTGGAACACCCTTCCCGTGGACATTAGACTGGCTCCTTCCCTGATGATATTCCGCAGGAAATTAAAGACGTGGTTGTTCAAGAAGGCGTTTGAACAAGAAGTGCAATGATTGGTAATGACTATAGGAATGGAACAATGGAAAATGATATTGGATTGTGGTTTGGACGATGAGACAACGCTGAATGGTTTTCGTAGTAATGATGATGTTTTTGTATAATGTTGGATTATGAATTGTTTTTTATACTGTGGTTTGAATTTTGTTCTTCTATGTTGTACACCGCTGTGAGTCGCCCCCAGGCTGAGAACAGTGGTATATAAGCAAAGTAAATAAATAAATAATTTTTAAAAATGTGTGCTATTCAGTCGGTTGAAGATGTAGCGGAGCGCTAGTGCTCTCGTTCGAGAGGCAGGAGTATAAAGTTTTGTCCTGACACAATTCAGTCGCCATCATGCATTGCAACAGTGAAGATCGTGCTTTTGCCGTTGAGGCCTACTTTTCGAGTGGATTTGGAGGGGCCAGCCCGTTCTCCAGATTTGGCCCCTTGCGATTTTTTTCTATGGGGTTTTTTGAAATCCCATGTTCATGTGAACCGTCCAAGGACCCTACAAGATTTGAAGACCAACATCCAGGAAGAAATTGCCAACATAATGCTTGCCATGCTGGCAAGAGTCATGACAAACGCCAGAAATCGGTTTACTCAGTGTATGGAGAATGGAGAATGGGGGACGTCACCTACTTAATTTGATCTTCAAAACTACGTAAAACAAAACTTTAGGTATGCACCTACATTATAAAAAAATAAAAAATTCTGATTCACACAATGGGTTTTATTAAGTTTTGAAAAAAGGAAGTTATGCTGCCTCACCCTGTATAAGCTGATGCCATACAGGGGTGTCACAAGTACTTGAGAACATATGTTCTCAAGTAAGATTTCCCTTTCCATTGATAATACTGTCAAGACTGAACAATGAGGAGCTTCTTCTGCTTGTCCCACCCCTCCAGGAAAAGTTGACATCTGTGAGCATGATTCACAGTAATCCAAATACATGCTTACTATCATTTCCACACTGGAAGTAAGTCAACCTGGAGGGAAAAGATACTAAACTGTAGGATGACAACACAATCCAAGTAGCATTTTGAAAATCCTACCTCTACTTTTTCTACCACTTGCTTCCCAAATGAACAGACTTTGGTGGAACAGGTGATTGTCATATTTTCTGAGCTCTCATACTGACTCGTTACACCGTAGAATGCCCCGGTATCATCTTGTATGTTGCAATTTAAGTCCGCCTGCAGGAAGAGATAACAGCTATATTCTCAATTGCTTGTATTAGTGGAATAAGTACTTATTAACCCTTTATTTCATATGTTTTAACAGTTTATTTTATAAATAAAGGCACAAAGATTGGAATAATCCCCTCTGCAGGAGTAAAAGAGGTACTAGCTCATTTTGGAAGGCAGGACTGGGCTCACCTGTAGCCAAAAGAGAGCTTTGAATGGTTCAAACTGCCAAGGCAAACAGCTGTAGTATTTCTCCAAGGTTTGTAAATCATAAGGGGTTTTGACAATCTGGTTTCTAACTCAAGCAAGGAACTAAAAATATGAAGACATATAGCAGAGAATACAGATTTCTCTTTCCTCTCTCTCAATCAGCCTAGAATAAAGATTTCTCTTTCCTCTCTCTCAATCAGCCTAGTATTTGACTCCAATAGCTACTACAGCAAACTGAGATCAATAAAAATAACTGATCACGGAGATCTGAAATAAGTACAAACACGTATTCTTCAGCCCCATATTTGACTGGGAATAAGCTCTTCAAATGAAGGATGTGCTTCACTAGTTCACCCCCGAGTAGTTCCTTTGCATAACAAAGACTAAAAAACAGATGTAAACATTATGCCCTGTACATCATGTTTTTAGAGGTATTATATAATAGTTAAAAAGGAAAACATTTTGGCCATAGTCCAACATAGTGTTAAATGTACTTATCTCTCATGATATGAATAGGTTAAGCATTATTAACTCTACATTTGACACTGGTAAATGTGTTTCTATACACTATTTACAATAACTATTCCTGTACCAGATATTTATTTTTTAAACTTCTGTATTACTCATTTCCTCGTTTTAGATATTTTACTATTACTTATGTTTCCACTTCCTTGTTCTGCCTGAACACATCTGTTACGCAGACCTGTATTTGTACCTACATGTTAGGTGAATCAATCTTTAAGAATACAGGATAAAACATATGTAATTTATCATCATTATTTCTATTGTAATTAGAATGACCATTTACAACAAATTCCAAGTAATCAGGATATTCCCAACAGCTGTCCTGAAAAAAGAAAATGGATTTGTTACATAGGAAGCTATTTCTCATCATCAATTGAAATTAACTAGATCAAATGCAACTCATAAAAACTGGTATAGAGTATTAAGAGGCTGAATTTAATGTTAGAAAGCCATAGTCCAAAGTTCAGTATCAAAATGGCCACCACTTTTGATTAAGTTTACTTGACAGTAACCGCAGATGCATAGTATTTCAAGAAAACAGAAAAAGAAGATTGGAAGAAGTACAGTGACAAGGGTGCAAGCTGCCCGAAATCCCTTTCTGTTGTCAGTTGGGCAAACTGGAAAAGATGGGAGAAGGAGAACTGATTGTCAGTTGAAGGGAATGTGTGTGCACATGTATATGGAAGGGCTACATTAAAGACAATTGACTAGCCTATGTTTGGGAGGAAGGCATGAGGATCTGCATGAAAAGACTCCCATTCAAAATATTCACAAGGAATGTCATTGGGGACTAATGTTAATAAGAAAGAACATTTTCCTGCTGTAAGGTAGAATAGATGCAAGGTTGCTTCCTTTTGCCCCAACATTGACACAGATTTGTATGCAGTGATTTTAAGTAAAATGTATACTCATTTTGCATGGATTTCCTCTCTAGTCAATTAATTCCAAGATAGAGAGAAAGGTTGAGCTATTAAGAACCTAACAGTAAAAAAATAAAGAGAAGGAAGTAAATAGGGCTATATAAAAAGTGAAGAGAGGAGCTGTATGGAAATGTTGAGAAAAACATTATGAAGTGAACCCTGGAAAAGGGTTACAGTGTTACCATGAGAATTCTTTGTTCTTATGGGATGATGATGATTGAAAAACAAGGTATTTTCTTCAGCCAAACAGACAATCAGTTACTTTGCTTATGGACTAGAAAGCTGAAGAAAAGTCTTTAGACCCTAATATATTATATATTTAATATAACTAGAAACAGTTTCTTTGGCTTATAGATTTGTAACATTGTTATCTAGAAGGTGTAACTTATTTCAAGCAGAAATAATCTTGAAACTAGATTACTTTGATTTTCCCAATGTGATAAGCTACATGTTGGTGAATGCGTCATGACTTGGTCCTACAAGTGGGAGTTGAAAAACAAACCACTGAACTCCATCCATAATTGATTAAGATGGTGTTTCTGACAGATATGCTTGTTTGTTCACAGTACATCAGGATATTAAATGTGCATGAATGCTGTGTTTTACAAAATAGATCTTCCTAACAGATGAGTTTTGCCACCATTTTTTGGAGGGTGGCAGTTTCACCACTAATATAAATTGAAAATCACATAGTCAAATTGACCTGGATGAGGTTTTTCTTCAGTGGTTAAGTAGAATTAATTTTCTTATTTGATGTTACTTATGTTGCATTTAAAAATAAGGAATTGAGATTTAGCAGAGACAATTATGTTATTTGTGGTGGGTGAACAATCAGTCTATATAGAGCAGTCATTTTGAACAAGACTACATTGTGGTCTTATTACCAGGTCATGAAAATCAATGTTGCTATTGTTAACTGCCATTAACTTGACTTTGACTTCTGGTGACACCACGAAAGAGAGACCTCCAGATCACCCGGTCATCAACTCCGCTCTTGCAGCTTCTTTGATTGAGCCTATCCATCTAGGTCTTCCTTTTTTCCTACTGCCTCCTACCTTGCCAAACATTATTGTCTTTTCTAGTGAGCCATGTCTTCTCATGATATGACCAAACTGCAACATTCTCAGTAAGTCTTAGCTTCTAAGGGGGGTTCACGCTTAATTTGCTCTAAGACCCATTTACTGTTTTTTTCAGCATTCCAAGGCATTGAGAGAACGCTTCTCTGGAATAATATTGATTGGTTCATATTAGTTGGGGTTTTTTTCTGCTCATTTTAATACCCTGTTTAATTTATATGCAGATAATATTACACAGAAGGCAGGAATAAAAGCTAGGAGTGAGATATACAACATCATAAGCTGTATTCAATAAAATTATATTTGTATTGTCGAAGGCTTTCATGGCTGGAATCACTCAGTTCTTGTGGGTTTTTTCGGGCTATATGGCCATGTTCTAGAGGCATTATATTTGTTATTTATAACTTCTTCACCTACCATCTTGTGACTGTTACCAAAGTTATAATAAAGCAGAACCCCAAATCTCAAGAGAACAGTCATGTTGATTGTGTGTGTATGATCCAGTATGAATTTTATAGAAATTCTTGGTACAGTGTATCCTTGGAGAGAGGTAGGAGTGTCCCTGTATCGTCCCATGTGTTGAAAAATGAAGCAAGTAAGAAAATTATTCAACATGTGATCATTATATGTGAAAATTAATTACAGTGTATTGTTTCCCAGTAAAGAATAAATGAGGGAGTGGCATACAAATATTGTATCCAAAGGGTATTATAACTATTATGCTCAAAACTAGTCTTTCTCTTTTTTAGTATCTTGTAAAAATGGTGACTATAAGGACAAATTATAGACCAAAGTGGGGGGAATCACCAAAGTTTCAGTAATGTTTCTTTTTACTATGAGTCCTTGCTAAATTCCTAGGAAAGAGTACTGGTGATCTTACAAGTAATTGTTCTCTTTGTTTGATGATTATAGTATAATACCTACATTCATCCCCCAGTAAAATACAGCCTGTCAGTATAGAACACTGAAAATTTTACATATCAAGACTATCAGCTACTTGACACGATGCATCAAAAAGGCCCCTGCTGAAGATCCCCAGCATGTGCTGAAATAGAGCTGGCAGCAAACAAGAAGAATACTCCACATGGATAAGTGTTCTCAGTCTTCAGAAAAGAGAGGAGGCAGTCTGCATGTGTTACAAGAGTCTTGGCTAAGCAGATTTTTTTTAAAAAAACCCCAGCAAATGCAGAAAGATTATTAAAGCCATTTCACAACAAAGAGCTGGAAAAAGTAGCAGCACAGAGAGCATGAGATTTCCTGAGGGAGCAGCATAATTAAAATACAAATATTCAGTAGTTAAAATTGAACACGGAGGGTCACTTGTTAAACAGCATAGAGGCTTCCTTCAATTACCATTGCCTGCAATGAGGAGTCATTCATATGAGTGTATTATGCTTCCCCTCCTTCTCAGTGAACAGTGATCAAAGGGCAGAGATTCCAAATTGTGAAGCGTTTTTTTTTCCAACGGCAGCATCTGGATCTTTGGCAGACTTCACTGCCAGTTGTGTGCTGCAGGCTTGGAATCGCTTTCAAGCCTGACACATGGCTAGGATTTTGATGGCCAGGCCAAGCTACTCCACTTTCCAGCTGCCCTCTGACTCGTACAGAAGAACTAACACACTTGCACCAAATGGGATTTGCACCACTGCCATGAAGGTCACTGGGGAAAAGTGTCCTTTCGGGAGAGGGGAAGGTGATTAGAAAAATGGAGAGGAATCATTTCCTTTCCCTACAAATGTATTTTAAAGCTGTTTAAGTAAAAAGGGCTCCAACTGACTCATCCACATCATGAAGCTCCTCTCTCAGCTGCAGGTTCTTGCCAAGCTGCATTCTGTTATGCAATAAAGTTCACATTGAAAGAGGGGAAACATCACAATAGCTTTTTTGTGAATGAAGGAGACAAAGATTCTACATGCCTCTAAAGACTGCAGCAGACACAAGAGGGATGTGGGAGGAGACCATGTGGCAGGGCTCTTTCTAAGTGCTAACTACACTGCATTCATTATTTGTTAACAGCGCCTAACAAAGAAACAGCATTATATTTTTCAGTTACAGCTATTTTACATAATAAGAATGGGAATAAACTTAACTACTCAACTCATGTTACTTTACCACTAATTATGCCATATATTTACATCCATAAAATAGGAGAGATTTTTGGACATGATTTAATGCCCTTTTATTGTGTAGATTCCTTTATTTCCATTTCGCATTTGAATTTCAAAAATGCCTTGGACTTCAAAGCATCTTTTTAAAAAGACTGCACTAATTACACTATGCCTTATTGTCTACAGCCGTTTGTTTGGTATTCATTAAAATACATTTATTAATATCACCCACACATCTTCAGGGAGATTTTTTTTCATGTTACATGGGTGTTCAGAGAAACAGAGAGGGTCACATTGTGTAAAGCAACACTGCATTTATCATTCTAACTGTGCAATTTTAAGCATATTTGGTCAGATGGAAGGGCTACTATTTTGAATCGGAATTACGCTTTTGTAAATATGTGAATGATTTTAGTTTCTTGTCAACATGTTCAAATACTAACACCAGTCCAGTGGTATTATAAAGAAACTATTTGTATTTAGTAGGTCCTTCTATATTGTGCCATGGTTGAACTGAAATTGCAGACAATTCCAACCCAGAACAAGATGAGGAGCATAAAACTGCACTCGCACCTATTAAGAAAAATACATTGTAGATCTATTTACTAGGCCTGTTTGATCAAGAAAAAATTTGTTTCTAAAATCGATTTGTAATTGGGGTGTTTTTTTGTTTCGATATTTAAAATATTTACAAAACTTTCCAAAAAAAATGTTTTGTTATTTACGAAATTTCGTAAATATTTACAAAACATTTTGTAAGTGTGAATGTTGCAGTTGGTCACCTTGATTAGCATTGAATGGCTTTCATTTCTCCCACCCTGGACATTCCATAGATAAACTCCATTTGCCTAGTTTCCAACAGACCTCTGAGGATGCCTGCCATAGATGTGGGCAAAATGTCAGGAGAGAATGCTTCTGGAACATGGTCAACATACAGCCCTGAAAAGAAAACTCACAAGAGCCTGGATGCAGCCTTCAAGATGGTATTGGTCTCCCTGCGCTCCGGCTCCGGCTCCTGCGCCCTCCTCCTCCTCCTCCCAGCTGTGTTGCAGGAAGCGCTCACCCTTACAACCGGCCTCCGCGCGCCATCCAATCGGCTCCGGCTCCTGCGCCCTCCTCCTCCTCCTCCTCCTCCTGGCACTTCCTGCAACACAGCTGGGAGGAGGAGGAGGAGGAGGGAGGAGGAGGAGGAGGGCGCAGGAGCCGGAGCCGATTGGATGGCGCGCGGAGGCCGGTTGTAAGGGTGAGCGCGTGCGCGCCATCGAATCGGCTCCGGCTCCTGCGCCCTCCTCCTCCTCCTCCCAGCTGTGTTGCAGGAAGTGCCAGGAGGAGGAGGAGGAGGAGGAGGGCGCAGGAGCCGGAGCCGATTGGATGGCGCGCGCGCGCTCACCCTTACAACCGGCCTCCGCGCGCCATCCAATCGGCTCCGGCTCCTGCGCCCTCCTCCTCCTCCTCCTGGCACTTCCTGCAACACAGCTGGGAGGAGGAGGAGGAGGAGGGGGGCGCAGGAGCCGGAGCCGATTGGATGGCGCGCGGAGGCCGGTTGTAAGGGTGAGCGCGCGCTTCCTGCAACACAGCTGGGAGGAGGAGGAGGAGGAGGAGGGCGCAGGAGCCGGAGCCGATTGGATGGCGCGCGGAGGCCGGTTGGATGGCGCGCGGAGGCGCGGAGGCCCCGCCCGCCCCATTTACAAAACGGGCGAAAGCTCGTAAATACTGTGGGAGTTGCTGTTTCGATATTTAAAAACCCTTCCGGGTTTAAAAATGTGTTTTGAAATCGCGTCGGATATGGTAAAAATAACGAATTAATAACGAAATAACGAAATAACGAACGAAACCGCACAGGCCTACTATTTACACATCCTGAAAACTGTACTTCTAGTTACACAGCTGGGCAACAAGATGACTCATGCTTTATTTTATAATTTCAATTGATATAATATCTAAAAATATCATATATGCCTACTCATATGTTCAATCCATGTTGTGAAAAGTGGAATAAAGAGCAAGAAATTGGATATAAGCGTTGAGGACCCCATGTCCTGAATTCTAAGATCCAAAACTGTCCACATAGGGTAATTGGATAGTGATAGCTTTTGGGCACATTATTAAAATATTGTGTATAAAATTGCCTTTAGGCTGTGTGCATGTGTTGCATATGAAACATACATTAATTTCATGTTTAGGCTTACGTTCCATCTCTAAGATATCTCAAGTTATCACAAAATCTGAAAAAAATCCAAAATCCAAAAGGCATCTCGTCCCAAATCTTTTGGATAAAGAATACACAATCTGTATCAGAATACATATTTTAATCTCCAGATGTTACTAACTGCTTGAAAACTGGCATGGTCTCTGCCAGTTTATAACTCAGAAAACTTTACCACCTTTTAACACTTAAAAAGTTTTCTTCAGCCAACACCAAGTGCCAAATGTTCTCTCTTTTTTTTTTAGCTATCCGCTTTGCTTAGGCCCTCCACCTATTCCCGCAAATCTTATCTACAAGTGTGGCAAACTCATTCTGTATGGGAATACTTCCTTGTTTCCACTCATTCATCTTCCTAAAAGAGTTCTAGATTTTTAATATATTAAATAAACCTGGGAGTTGATATATTGTGCTACTAAAATAGACAGAATAACAAAACTTTTAGTACTCACATTTGTGTTTCAATTTGGGTTAGTTATCCTTACTTGACTTGATGAAAACAATACATTCCCAGAAAAATTCATGGCATTTTAACACCATATGGCTGGGATGGGAATTGTGTAGGCATCCAGATCTCAGAGTATCCCTATCCACTGCCTTTGCTGACTTGAGCCTTGGGAGCTGAAGTCCTGCAATATCCCACCCTTGCAATAGGAAGGTCTTCTACAGATGTCCTAATTGAGTCACCTGCTACTCATCGGCACCATTAGGTGGCAGGTGACCGTTTATAAATTGGTTCAACACTGAGTTTTTGAAGTGAACAAAAACGCTGACAAGCAGCAGCATTTATGGTAGCATGGTCTTGTTAAACAAGATCTGCATTAATTTTTACATGGTTGAAATGCATAAATGATGCAGTCATAAAATATTACAGTAAGTAATATGCTAAAACTGTCTATGAATTAGCAATATGTCTGCAGAGGGTTTGGTAAGATTATACACCGCAGTTCTGGAAATATTACTCTTCTAAAAGAAAACAAAAAAAGTGCTGGTAAAATTACTATTTTGAAATTACTTTAAAAATAGTCCTTTGTGGTTTAGTTATAACAGAGATCCATTTTTCAGTAAAAGAGGTAAAGACTGGAAAGAAATATATTTAATACAATGTACATTTGTATTGAGGAGCAAGACTATATATTTCTAGCCATTATTATTGGGTAAAGTAACTTGTAAAGTTCAAAAGAATTGAGGACCTGGTGGTCTAAACAACTATTTCACTCTATATATACAGAGTTGTAAATGACAAGAGAGGCACTTCTGAGGATAATCCTTCTTTGGAGGCTGGATGGCCATCTGTCGGGGGTGCTTTAAATGCAATTTTCTTGCTTCATGGCAGGGGGTTGGACTGGATGGCCCATGAGGTCTCTTCCAACTCTACCACTGCTCCATCCAAGGACTTGGAAAGTTCTATTGGAGAACTCTAGGACTGTAGTTTGGGCATTGAGTGGATTAGATTATTTTCATTCACTGGACCAAATTTGGCACAAATACCTGATGTGCCCAAATCTGAGTACCGGTGGGGTTGGGGGGGGAGGGGGTTATTTTGTCATTTGGGAGTTGTAGTTGCTGGGATTTATACAGTAGTTCACCTACAATCAAAGAGCATTCTCAACTTCACCAACGATGGAATTTAACCAAACTTGGCACACAGAACTCCCATGACCAACAGAAAATGCTGGAAGGGTCTGATGCGCATTGACCTTGAGTTTTTGACTTATAGTTCACCTACATCCAAAAGAGCACTGTGTACTCAAACAATGATGGATCGCAGTTTTTGCAGTTTCACATTTCCACAGGAAGTCCAGGAATATATCTCCCATAGATATTGAGTTCCCATGAATCTTTCTACTTTCCTTTTAAAGATTCCCAAGTTCATGGCCATCATTATAGCTTATAGAAGAAAATTCTAAATTCCAGCTATTCAGTGTTTAAAAATGGCTTCTTTTGTCTGTATGGAAGCTTTTGTGAATAAATGTAAGGGAATTACCTTAAGTACCACTGTAATGAAAGAAAAAAACTTATTTCCATCAACCTTTTCCAAATCAAGTCAAAATACTTTTTCACATATCTAAAAGGGGAAAACAGCAACAATATAAAGTATTAAATATCTTCAATATCTTACCCAAAATTTTACTAGAAAGAAGGCATTCTGAGGTCCTTTCCCAAACAACTCCTTCAAGCCACCTTTCTTTTCAGGAAATTTGTCATAGATCTGACGAATGTCCACCGATTCCAGCAATGGATCACTGTAAGAATGATTGGCATGTCCAATGTGTACGAAGAGGTGCTTATTATACTGCAAAGTAAAGAAATAAAAAGCAGTACAGTAATTAACTGATGTAAAGAGAACACCTGTTTATTCTTGAAAAGATTTACAGTGCAGGAATGTTTTGATAAACCAAGTTAAAGTAGGTACATGTTGCAGCATCACTGCTGGTAGACACCATTTCTGGTGACAAGTTGAAGAGCCAGCATTTAAATCCTATCACTATACAAATAAAATGAATATATTTGGGAGAGGTTTCTAGCCCAGCTGTTTCCCCAAGAGTCTAGCTTTGAATGTGTAGTATCCCTTTAGTGAGCAGATATTCAACCGTCCACTGGCAGTCTGAATGGCATGGTTTAGAGACAGGGCACTGCTTCATTTGTATTACATTAAAAATTAATTCCCATCCATTGATTGGAGCATACCATTTATAGATACAGAAGTTAATTATTTCTGTAAGTGTTCAAAGCACACTGTGGAAAACCTACATAAAATCAGTAAGAAATAAATGGATGGATACAAATTGACATTCAGTTGATATTTTCAGTCTAATGAACTGATGGTTTTCTTATAGCTGAACCAAAGACGTTCTGTATTCTATATAACATTTCAGAGCAAATGTCCAAATAACTCTGAAATAAGAATTGTACTTTTGCTACATCATGTAAAGAAACTGTTAATCAAAAATTCAAAGTAGAATAGCTTTGGTGTGTCTCATACAACTCTAATATAATAATAAAGCTTTTAATAATAAGATTATAATAATAACGTTTTATTTATATCCTGCCCTCTTTCCCCAAGGGGACTCGGGGCACCTTACAACAGAAAACAACATCCATTGTATCATCACACTTCCAAAAATTAAATCAGAACAAACAAATCAAAAGGGCAAATCACAATACATAAAGAAAATAAATTCAATAAGATATATTAATTATAACTCATGATGCCATCCAGACAGTATATGTATAAACAATTATAATAGTTAGGACATATAATACCACTAGAGCATCAAAAGATCTGCTCTTGTTGATAAAAACAGTAACACTCAATTGAAATTTTGATTCTATTAAAAATCTCAGTTCTGTTTACAATTGAATAATTTCAAACTTGCTTCCAAAGTCATGTTTTCAACTGCTTCCTGAAGATCATTAAAGTGGGGGCCAGTCTATTCTCCTTGGAGAGGGCATTCCAGAGCCAGGAAGCCACCACCGAGAAGTCCCTCTCCCTTGTCCCCACTAGTTGTGCTTTTGACAAAGGTGAGTTCGAGAGGAGGGCCTCCCAGTGGACCTCAGGGCCTGGGCAGAGTCATAGGAGAAGATATGGTCGTGCAAAAAGGTTGGATAAGAGCCATGTAGGGCTTTATAGTTAATAACCTGCACTTTGAAATGAGCACAGAAACACACAAGAAGCCAATGTAGTTGTTTTCACAGGGAATAGTATGCTCCCTGTAGTTGGCTCCTGTCAATAGTTTAGCTGCTGCTCTTTGCACTATTTGTAGTTTCCGAGCCCTACATCATAGAGTGTATTGCAGTAATCCATCCGAAATGTAACAAAGACATGGACCACTGTGATCAGATCTGACTTTTCAAGGTATGTGTGTGGCTGTCACACAAGTTTTAATTGAGTAAAGGCTCTCCTGGCCACTGCCAACTCCTGGGCTTCCAGGGTTAGCGCTAAATCTAGGAGAACCCCCAAGCTTTAGACCTGTATCCTTAGGGGGAATGCTACCCTGTCAAACACAGGTTTCAACCTTATACTCCAATCAGCCTCCCAACTGACTAGGAGGAGCTCTGTCTTGTCTGGATTGAACTTCAGTTTGTTAGCCCTCATCCATCCAATCACAGCAGCCAGACACTGGTTCAGGACCAGAGCAGCTTCCTTGGCTTTAGGTGGAAATGAGTAACAGAGTTGTGTGTCATCTGTGTACAGATGGCATCAAACTCCAAAAACCCAGATGACCTCCCCAGCAGTCTCATGTAGATGTTCAATAGTAAGGGGGCTAAAATCGAGCCTTGCAGGACTCCACAAGCCAATGGACAGGGGTCCTAGCAGGCATCTCCCAGCACCACCTTCTGGGTTTGGCCCTCCAGGAACAAGGGGAGCCACTGTAGAATGGTGTTCCCAAGTCCCATCCCAGAGAGTTGACCCAGAGGGATACGATGGTCAATGGTATCAAAAGCCACTAAGAGGTCCAAGAGAACCAACAGGGACACACTCGCACTGTTTATTTCTCTGTAGAGGTAATCCACCAAGGTAACCAAAGCTGTCTCTGTTCTGTAGCCAGGCCTAAAGCCAGACTGGATATGGCTAGATAATAAGTTTCATCCAACAATTCCTGGAGTTGAGTAGTGACCACTCGCTCCAGGACCTTGCCCAAAAGTGGAGATTGGCACTATAATATACTTCTTTATATATTAGCAATACAAATATTTAACAGATATTTCTTATGAGTTTGGTGCAAGGCCAGTGTGATGCAGGAGAGATAACTGAATTGAAACACAGATCTCAAAGTTCAGCTGCCCGTTTAGCTCTTAAGCTCTTGGCCTAAGCTGCTTCAGTGGGCTGGCATGGCGATAAACAAGTTAAGAAGTAGAAAGCCATTTATACCTTGAAAAGTATTTGGCTGACTGAGTCAAAGGGCATCTGAGGCACTTTTTCCAGGCCCCTCTTCTTCAGTTGTTGTGTACCAATGGCTCCTGACCTTACTCAGCCATACATATGTCCTTGATACAGTAACATCATATTTACTCCAGGCTCAAAACACTTTAATGCACGCTAGGTAAGGTTAATCAAGATAGAGGAAATGAGCTCAATAAACTACATTGTCAGGCACGCCTTTCAAACCTGAGATAGCTTTATCTAGCATATTTTTATTTATTAGAGATTCCTATCTTAAAGTTATTGGAAAGTTATACCAACTGACTGCATGGCAGGGGATTAGACTGGATGGTTTCTTCCAACGCTAAAATTCCATGACTTTTTTTTTCATGTCAGGAGTGACTTGAGAAACTGCAAGTCACTTCTGGTGTGAGAGAATTGGCCATCTGCAAGGATGTTGTCCAGAGGATGCCCAGATGTTTGATGTTTTACCGTCCTTGTGGGAGGCTTCTCTCATGTCTTTATATGAGAAGCTAGAGCTGAGATGGATGCTCACCCTGCTTTCCAGATCTGAACCACCAACCTGCCAGTCAGCAATCCTGCAAGTACAAGGGTTTAACCCATTGCACTACCGGGGCTCCTGGTTCTATGACTGAAGACAAATAAATATACAAGAAAAATGGACCAACTTCTGTCCTGAAAAGCATCAAAAAGTCAACTATCAACCAAAGAATTGGGGAGTAAAACCTGAAATTTGCCAATTGTTCTCTAAACATTTTAAAAGAAGACTGGGAATGAGGAAATCACAGGCAATTTGCTAAAGGGAGGGATAAGACTATCTTGGAGGGTGATAAACTCTCCTTCACTGACACTTTTAAAATAAAGACTGAATGGTCTCATCCCAAGACCTAAACTCAATTCATGCAACTTTGCATCAGTTCTCTAGTTTTGTAATCAATCAGTAAGATTTCCTTCTGAACCTTCCTGTTGTGATTCAGCGTCTGTCTCATGTACCTACTAGTAGTAGTAGAAGGAAGCGACGTTTGGAAGCAGAAGACGCCCAGCAGCAGCTGAAGCGTATTAGAGACTTGTTCTTAGAGCCTACAGATGAGGAGGATTTCGAGGGGTTTACTCGTGAGGAAATGGAGGTGGAGGATTACCACGGTGTAAAGCGAGTAGCAAGCAGCTCGGATAGTGATGTGGGATCTGTTTCTAAACGCCTTAGAGATGTAGCTGATTGTGAGGAGTTTGACAGCGAAGAGGAAGAGCTGGACTGGACCAAGGTTCAGGAAGTGCTAGATGTGGTTAATGCTCCCACCTCTAGCAATGAGTTTCTGGGTTTTACTGACACTTGGGTTTCAGATACTACTTTGCAGGATGTAGTCCCAAGTACAGAATGGCAGCAATGGAGAAGTCGGGATTCACCTGTGGAGAGGGACGCACCTGAAAGTAACTCCAGTGACTCGGATGAGATTTACAGAGCAGTTTGGGAGTAGACTAGTTGCAGAGTTCAAAGTGTCGTGATACCGTGTGCCTTGTGTTTAACTCTTGCCCTGAGTTCCTGCTTTCAGCTTCGTGGAYTCCTGTTTGTGTGGACGACCCKGCCTTGGAACTKGATTYGTGAGTCTMATCTCCTGYCCTGACCCTCGGACTGCCTGACCACTCTACRCTTCTGCYTAWCCCTYRGWSACTTCRTTGGACYRCTCCTCATGCGGATTCCTGTTYRCTGYTTTGTTTGGACTTRGAAYGGACTGAGTTTCTGCTGCTGAWATCAAGCGWTTCTGCCTGTGTTTGTTGYTTTCCTTTTCCCARYGAGGACTGACTGGGACTTGGTTTGTTTACATTCTTGCAAGCMGCAAGCCCTTTTGTGTTTACAGCTYTGATTTAAGAGCCCTTTTTCTTATGTTAATGGACATTAAAGACCTTTGTTTAACTCCTTAACTGCCGTCTTGCCTTGCTGGTCCGCCTGGGTCTTGACACTTCCTTTGATAATAATTTCAACTACATTACCTCCAAGAATAAGTGGAAAACTTCTCATGCTTACAAATCAGCCTACATAAAATGTGTTTTATTATTTAAAGAGTGCATAAGATAGAAAAAAATGAACAAATGAATGGAGGGAATGAATGCTTCAATGAGCAAACGAATGAATGAATAAAATCAATCAATGAATGCTTATGAGTAAATGCCTTTCAAAGGGCAGGCTCAACTTGCATACTGATCGGTTACACAAGAATTACAGTAATTATCATCGTATTCTGTAACAATAAGTAATTATCAAACAGCATCTGCACAATTGGTGGGCAAACTACAAATGCAACAATCTTGCTATCCTTTTAAAAACCCATTTTGAAATTATGTATGTGAAAGATTTCATATAAGCACCAAACTGTACCTTCTTGATACAATCCCAATTCAATGTTTAGACT